TTGTTCTACAGAAAAAATATACTTAGTTTTATTAAGAATTCTCTGAATCTGAAGCAGTTATGAGCAAATTTGTGTCATCTGCATACTTCGTGCTTAACAATGTGGAACCTAATTATTAATTAAACCTATTTAAACATTACGCTCATTCGAAATATCTGTTCCATTACGTCCTAATAGTTTTACAACCTGCTTACGATTGCCGAGAGCCGAGATATGATTCTATCGAAGAAAGTACTGAAGCTCTGAAGCCATATCTAATTTTGCAATAACATGTTGTGATCTAGGCACTCATATGCTTTGGCAGCGCCGATGACTATAATTTGAATTCATTCGTCAGGAATCTTCACCATTTTCAGCAATTATCTGGAACATTAGGATGTTATGGAACCCACGCACTTTTATGTTCACCTAACTGCTTAAGTCTAACCGACTTGTAGTCTGTTCTTGAAACCTGACTACTGACTACAAAATTTTGGTTCAAAACAGATCGTGTGCTTGCTCCTTTTACCTAGTCCGATTTCGTTGGTTAAAACAGAACACACCCTTTGTGTTATCTTTTATTATATAACATCAAACATTCACAGTTTCGCTGAGCTATGGATAACGATATCCCTGATCGTCCATACGCTCATTAGAACAAAAAAAAGCGACGTAGCTGGAAGTGGAAAGCTCGCTATCGGATTATCTCCTCTGATTATTCTCTCGTTCCGCATGAGAACGAATTTCCAGTGTATACGCAAATTTCAGGTGGACGGAATGATAATACCCTGCATCTGTTAGAGTCTCACACCTATCGATGCAAATTAGTAATCATATTTGTTTTGCTAATTGGGGTTTGGTAGATAACAGCGGAGCGTACCCTATTCTGTTCCCGCAAATTTGAAATTAATTTGATATTTGTGGATGCATGTGGCTTCGTTCGGCGACCCCTACATAAATATATGGTACAGTCAATTAATGTCTAACGTTTGGATGTTATGAGCATTGCCACTATATAATGATGATGTACCAAGAAACAATGTGCTGGCAGTTTCCTTAGTATTGTCAGGTTTCTGGAGAACTAGAACTGATAGATATGGCCAATGTACATTAAAACAATGATTAATGGACAATTGCAAATCGCCCAGACAGACAAACTTCGAATAGTCGTGGTAGCTACAAATTAAATCTTTGAGTAAGATCTTTCAGCTAATAGGACCCCAGGTAAGTGGATGTCGTCTCAGTGACGTCAATTCTAGCGATGTTATTTACGAGATACGGTAACATGACAGTACCCAGCCGATTTATATTTGAAACGTATATTTACGTTTGTAAACATATAAATGAACGTAGGACCGTAGATATGCACCAGATTGCATTGGAATGATATATATATATATACATATATATATATATATATATATATTACGTGCCAATTAACAAAACATTTGTTTTTACACTTGTCATGAAAATTACTGATGACGTATACAATACATATAAAACTATAATTGGTAAAAATAAAATAAAATATAATATAATATAAAGGTGTAGTAGGCCAGATCACACACATAGGGTGGTCGCGATAAACTCATTCAAGGAATAAAAAGGATGTTTAACTAATTCTTGCCAAAGTGTATTTTTAAAATGTTTTAAGGTAAGATTCTTAGTAGTGTTTTTTAGCTTGTTATATACCCTAACATCAAGTGAGTTTTTATCTGAGATCTTTAGCCTGTGAGCGCTAGGTTGAAGTAGATTGGAATGCCTGGTGTTATATCCATGAACATCCGAGTGCATTGAGAATCTATGCTTGTTCTTATGAATCTCAACAAGGCTCTGATAGATGTACATTGAATAAATTGTAAGCATATTTAATTTTATAAAGAGTGGCCTACAGTGGTCACGATAACCAGCTCCCTCAAGAATTCTAATTGCTTTTTTTTGTAATATAAAGACTCTATTTATATGGGTAGAATTTCCCCAGATTAATAAGCCATATTGAATGTGAGAGACGATGAGGGAGTAATAAACACTAACAAGGCATTCATTACTAATGCAAGTTTTTAGTCTGCGTAGTAAGAATATGTTTGTGGCTAATTTGCTACATAGGGTTTCAATGTGCTTTGTCCATTTTAGTGAGCTATCAATTGTTATGCCAAGCAATTTTACACATTTGTTTTCTGCAAGAGAAGAGTTACTAGTTACTACTAGCCTGTTAGTTTTGTCTGAGTTTAGGCATAAGCTATTCTGTTTAAACCAGTTGTTTGCCTTATCTTCAAGCTGTTTAGATAAGCTTTGTAATATATGAAGGTTTTTGTGACTCTTTATAAGGGTGGTGTCATCTGCGTACAATACACAAATATCTGGTAATAAGTAGTAATAAAGATCATTAATGTAAAGGGAAAAAAGTATTGGTCCAAGTATGGATCCCTGAGGGACACCATAATTTACACCTTTAATTTCTGAATGTTTATTATTACTACTAACGAGCTGAGATCTTCCAGTCAGATATGATCTAAAAAAGCACAGAGACACCCCACGAAAACCATAATAATGCTCCATTTTACACAGCAGCTTCTCATGATCCACACAGTCAAAGGCCTTGCTAAGGTCACAAAGGGTAATTTGTACACTTCTTCCCCCTTCAAGGCCCTGGACTATGTGGTCAATAAGTTCCGCTAGTGCATTTATGGTTGACAGACCTGGCTGAAAACCAAATTGTTTTGGATTAATGATGTTATTTATTTTTAGAAATTTTAGAAGGCGGTGCTTTAAAATTATTTCTAAAATTTTGCCAAAGATAGGAATTATGGAAATGGGTCTAAAATTGTTTACATCAGATTGGTCACCTTTTTTAAAAACTGGTACTACCTTACTAATCTTAAAAACATCAGGGAATATTCCCTGAGAAAGACAGGAGTTATATAGATGAGCAAGTGGTGTGGCAAGAGTATTTGCACAGTATTTTATTACTTTGCTGTTTAGGTCATAAATATCAAGAGATTGCTTATTTTCTAATTCACCAATAGCATTCAAAACATCTAGATATGTAACAGGCTCCAGAAAAAAGGTTTTATTACACTTATTAAAATTTATGGTATTTAGCTCATTAATATTAAGATTAGGTAGGCTTGTTATTATATTTTTGGCTGCGGATACAAAAAAGTCGTTAAACATGTCTGATGTGATATCAGTTAATGTCATTGGTTTGGATTTATTTCTTTCAAAATTGACTAGCCTCCAACAGTCCCTACTTTTATTTTCCGATGAATGAATAAAATTATTATATGCACTATATTTAGCATGTCTAATTTTTTGTCTGTATTGTCTCTGAAAGGTTTTAAAGGCATTTTTTGACTGTTCGTCTTTTTGATGCTCCGATATTGTTTTTAGAACCTGAAGAGAGGACCTAGCAGTCTTAAGTTCACTATTAAACCATTTTACTGGCTGTCTCTGAAAATGTTGCTTTTGCTTTTGTAATGGGAAATATAAATCTTTAAGTTCATTTATTGATTCTACGAGAAAAGAAGAGAGACTAATCACATCATGATTGACATAATATTTTGTCCAATCTATGTTGGATAACGAGAGATTTAAATGATTTAGGCTAGCGTTTGTGATTTTCCTAGTATGAACAATATTTTCTTTTTTAATAGAATTTAAATGTACAAGCATACTTTGGGCATAGTGGTCTGAGAGACAGGGATCTGTTACAGAAACTGTATATTCAGACTCGTCTAAATTTGTCAAAATATTATCTATGCAAGTTGTACTTGTGTTGGTCACTCTCGTATAATCTATAATTGTTGTTTTTAATCCAAAAGTCTTTATTAAATACTTGAGGTCTTGCAATTGTAATGAATTGTTACAGAAGTCGGTATTAAAATCTCCAGATATGACTATAATGTTATACTTAGGGCTGATATAAGTGAGTAATGCCTCAAAACCTTGAAGAAAATCATAAAAACAAGATTTACCTGTTCGATATAATGTTATGAATATTGCTTTGTTTGTTACTAATTCTACAGCACAGCATTCCAATGACAGCTCGGTGGTATAAGGCTTCAGATCGACAGGGATAAAAGAACTTCTAAGATTATCCAAAACAAAAATGGCAACACCCCCATGAGCATGATCTGACCTACAAAACCAAGAGCATAAATTAAAATTTGGTATATTAACCGTTTTTAGTTGATCCTCACACAACCAGTGTTCAGAGAGGCATAAAAGTTCAGCATCAGAATTTGTGTCACCTAAATAACAGGATAACTCGTCAATTTTATTTGATAAACATTGAATGTTTAAGTGAAAAACGCTAACTCTTTGAGCAATTTTACATGTTTGGTTGTCAAGAACGTTTAAAAAGAATGTTTAACATTATTATTGTCTCTATTATTTATATTATTTTGTTTTTGGGAGTTGTGGCTAGGATACCGCTTATTTTGGCTGTGCCTCCAGTCACGATTTACGTATCCGGAAGGCCTTCTATAGATCCACGTCTTGAGACGGACGCCACAGTTCCAATTTTGGGGCTTCATTATGGTATCTAATACGGTGTTTGGTACTGTTAAACGAAACGAGCTAAAACTTCCTCCTGTGTTTAACTTTTCAACTAAATAGTTCGACGTCGACAGATGATTTAAGTATTTCGTAACCATTTCTTCAGTTGTGTTGATGTCTAGGTTCGATAGGTGCAGGCGAGTTGTAGGGGTTGCTACCTTTAGAACTGAAAGTCCTTGAAGACCGTTTTCGGCTCCGGCGGTGCTTAGTGTAGGCTCAACTTCACCTACGATGCTCAGTACCTTGTTATTTTCCCTAACCTTATTAATTTCTTGGTGGTTGTCACTGGTACCAGGAGATGGCAGCACTGGCGGCGACACGGAGGTTGATCTGGTGGATGTGCGGCGAGTACGACGACTTTTGCGGTATGCGTGCTAGGTGGCATTTGAGTTGGAGCGTCTGAATTTTTACTTGAATTTCGGTGTTGCCATGGTTTTTCCAACGTATTATTGTTTTTCTCCAAGATGGCAATTTTGAACAGCAATAAATTGTTTTTGTCGGTCATTTCACTTACGAGTTTATTAAGAAGTTCATTTTCACGTAACAATCGATCATTTTCTTTCATAAGATCGCTTATTACAACTTCATTCTGTGTCTTACGTTCCTCGCTCAGAATAATAGTGCCATTCTCCGACGTCACTGAACTGTTTAACGAGTTGTTTTCCAGGCAATTTTCACATACAAAATCACTATCTCTGGGTATTTCTTCATCTGCACACTTTTGATGAACCACATTTTCGCATTTCACACACTTATAACTATTTTTTGCGGCTTTTTTGTTGCATTTTATGCATTTTTCACTAGACATGTTTTCGTTATGTAGCATGCTGCCAGGTTGCCAAATGATATACAGACTACCCGATAACATGAGGAGAAATGCAATTTCAGTAGGTGCTTCAAGGAATATTTAAGAGAATCCATCACACCGCAAAGAGACTTGTAATCCGCTAAGTAAAAGCTCAGTTATCAGCACACATCTATTTTTTAAATTTTATGTTATTAGTTTGTCTGTTGCTCTTTTAGTTTGTTTTTTATTCCGCCTTTACTTTTTAGAAGTATTATATGTGATACTTATGACGTGTTCCTCTCTATACTTATGTATAGTGTTCGGAACTAATAAAGGAATTTGAATTTGAATCAAACCCTATATTAAACCCCAGCTCTTCCTAAGTCGAACCTATTGCTCACCAGAACACCGGTATCAGCGATCGAGGGCATCGAGCACGGAATAATTCTGCCTGCTGCTAGCCTTGTTACTATTATAGATGTCGTACCCTTCTGTTCAAAATTCTTTTAAACGAATATACAGGATAATTTTTGTAAGCATGCCAAAATTATAAAATTCAATATTTCCGATAATAGTGAAAGTGAAGAGATTTCAATTAGATTTTACACAATAGTATTAGTCATTAGGCGTAATTTAAAACTGATACGAAAATTAAAAGGTCCAGCGTCAGAATTTTGATTTTGTTAAGATCAACAAAGTTTCATATCGAAGAGTTTGACATTGTACAGAAATAGCCAGTTGATTGTACTTCAAACGGCGATTTATTTGTACTGCGCCTTACTTATTTTTTTGAATATTTTTCACAAGTGCTTTCTCCCTATGTGTTAATTTAGATAAGAAATCCATATTTATGGAAATATTTGTCAGAGTCTGACTAGTTTTTGCTATTTTCTCAATGTCTTCGGTACACAAACTGATTATACATTTTGAAAATCCAGGGCCTTACTTTTTTTTTATTTGTTTACACTGGACCTCGATCGACTCACTGCAACTTCAAACTAGGTTATTTTTGCATTTTCGACCGTAATTTAAATTAATATGCAAAAAGTATGGTTTGGAATCAATTTCTGGTGTGGAAATAATCATATAAATCGGGTGGCTATGGTATGGTGTATTTCGTGTCTGGACAAATCGTAAATTTTCAAAAAATTCAATTAGTATTATAAAATATTCACGTGAAATAAGAGTACTAGTTTTTTTCTAACAAAATGCTTCATAATGGTCAATGGCAACGGCGTAAATCACAGTTCATTATATTAGCAGTTCCAACTATAAAATATTTATATTTGTTATTAGAGGGTCGAAATTTCCCCATCTATCCTTCTATTTTAAGTGTCATAGGTTGTCAATAACAAATCCAAATTCCAAAATCTGCTTGTTTTCAGCAATCTGACAACCAGGCTGGATACGGCGAGATGCTTGACAGCTTGGCTCCGGCAAATGGGTGAAGCGGGTGGGAGGCGTGGTCGAATAGATTTGTTCATCGTATTTCCACATCACCTCGTTCAGTTTAACATTCTCAAACATTTCTTCACGTATCAACAAGGTATCATTGTTTAGATATCGTGACAAAAGAGTTTGGTAGAAAAGTTATAAAAAAAACTAAAACACAATGGGCTCATGACATTAACATACTTTAACTTCATGTGGACATAAAATTTGAACTCGGTCGCAAAAAAATCCGTAAATTTTCGAATAGAGTGTAAAAAACCTAATAATAGTATTATTAAAACATGTACCAATACAGGACATCACAAATATCCAATCAGTGGCCCCAGAAAAACAACAAAAAAAAAGGACCAACCACCTTAATAGAAAATTGTTTATATACAGTGAAAGAATTCCTTTAAACTTAATATTTTTTTTGTTTTTGCCTGCCTTTTCAGTTTTTCCTGGCTCTAGCTTAATCTTTGTTCATACCATTACATAGTACGATGATGCATAGTGAAGGTTGTCATTATTAAACTTATATTACGTCGAGATAGAAATGAATTATGATGTCATTGATGGATTGAAATGAGACAGCAGCTATGATGTCCCATTATTTGATGGAATTCAGAAAAACAACCTTCGTCGTTGCTTCATACAAAATTCAATATCTTAACTTTGACGTTTCCACAAGGTGCTTGTGAATATACATGCTGTTCCTACCAGTTGAGCTATTTTTTTACTATCATTTCATTGCTGGTAGAAACCCTGAAGTGATGGTTGTCACCTGGAAGAGTGTAAGCTCGGAGTGCAACTAGACATCTGTTGAATCTGAAGCAAGCAGAAATGGCGAATGTGGAGTATCAATCCAGCAAATTAAGCCGCAGGGTCGAAATTTTTGTGCTATTTTTGGTTGTCAATACAAAAGAAAATGTGAATACATGCTTAGTTTTAGTATTATGGTTGAATAGCTGAGAAGGTATGTGTGCTCAAATATCGATTCACTTGAATGTTTTTTTTTGCACCATATTATTGACGTAGGTGGGAATTGCTACAAATTATTCGAGAATTTCCTCAGTTATAATACTCGCTGACTCGTGGGAAGTAAAATAATGCTCGTGTCAGCGACACTTGAAATCTCGTCCAATGTACGTGTGTCACGACTCACCAATTATTTTGGCGTTATCACGAACTAACGTTGAGAGATACCCACTCCTCTTTAGCCGCAAGGCTGGAAACGCTAAATGTTACGTCACGCGAACGGCAAGCGCACGTCTTCATTCTAATGAACTGCTTTTATCGACACCAGGATTCACATAGTGCAGGACGTGCAGGAAGATCCCGACATTAGTGGGAGACAGTCAGTCTGGAAGTATCACATTTCTACAAGGTTTGGATTCAGAAATTCGTTAGGTGTTGGAGAGAAAATAATCCGAAATGAAAATGTGTAATTTTAGTGCTCTTGTCATTTAGATTTTTCGGGTTGTTGAGCCGTGGTCGGGTTGGATTTGCTTTCAGCTACATCTGCGGTAGCGACCTTCAGTTGCGCTGTCTGCAAAAGCGAAGTGCTCGGCTTGGCGGGTCGACTGGAAATGATCGGTCAACTGGATGGGCGTGCGGTTTTATAAGCGATCAGCGGACTGAGGACTGAGCTGTTTGGCTCTGGGTCCTTTAAGTGGTTTTTGTGCTGTTTTTTAGAATTGGGAACCACGTTTTGTTTTAAGCAATGCCTTCTTCCTTTCTATTGAAATTATCATTGTGTTTGTAGATTTCAATTGCTTCTCTGTACATTCGGGCTGAGTGGTGGATGTTGATGCGACTTCAGTTTGGTCGAACAGAACATTGTGGCCGTCTTGGAGTGCGTGTTTGACCATCGCTGGTTTATCAGTTTGTCTCCGTTGACAGTTTCTTTCATGCTCCTATAACGGTTTAGGTGCATGTTCAGCAAGGTCTAGGCTTGGTCTCTCGTCTCTGGGACAGCGAACGAAAGCATCACAACTATCCTCCATCTAGGAAGTACAGTCTATCAAAATAAGACGGCGTAAAGCGCCAACAATCACCATTCACTGCGGAGAGCGGACAGCTGCTATTTGTTGGAACTGTAGAATGAGGTACTGATGGCTTGATATTTTTTTATTGTTAGCTATAGACCATCATGCATCCCTAAGATTTTGAACAGTATTGTAGGATTTGATAGCACTTCTATGATGTAAATAAAAGGTTTTTGCTAGGGTTGGCCTTTGAAACCACCTCTCACTACTACAGTATTTTAGCTCGGTGTTGATTGTATCCTGCTTACCTTTCGAAGATTCTACCTGTACTAAGAGCAACTGAACGGTGGAAGTGGAGTGTGGAGAGGGTGGAAGTGCATTTGCATACCCTCAACTCAGACGTAGGTTGGAAGCAATATACCTCCCGAATGCGATGCATTCCTCTGTTTCGTAAACTACTATGCGAATCTAATCGCTTTAACCTGCACTCAAGCACGCACATCATGTTAAGGCCATGACGTATGGAGCGGTGCATACGTATGAGATAGAAGCTTGTTACCTAGGGAGCCTTCCGAAACGCAATCAGGAGACTTTAAGTTGATTAAGTACAACTTCATATACAAAAGTTGCAACAAATGGGGCTTCCGATCAAGAAGGCACCTCATAGCTTATGTCATACCCAACTAGCAAAGTAGTGCTATAAGCTTTTGGTAAAAGAACCGTTCAGCCATAAAAGCTCTCTATTGTTGCCTGAACACCAAAATGCTGGCTTAATGTTGTGTGGAATGCAAATTGGCTTTCTGCAACATATTGGCTCTAAAATGAGGTGTTTAAAATATTCTTATAGCACAGTTACACAACACCTTATAGGACAAATTTTTAGCTGTTGCATAAACGTTTATACAACTATTTTATACGGCATATTTACAGGTTAGTCAAAATGGTTATGTTGTGGCATCCATGGAAACGTTTCTAAAACAAACTGTGCAAATTTACTACTTTAGCCAACAAATTGCTCCCAACGGAAGCACTTATACAACTGTTGTTTAGTAACTGTTAAAGGCTGTACATATGCTAAATATGTTGGTATACAACTTCACCATAACCTAACTTTCTGCTGTCATATTTTTGTTAAAATGCCATAACCAGTGTTTTAAGACAACGCATGCATATTGCTTAAAAAGGTTTTATCAACTGTTCAAACAGAAGATATAGATCTGGTACAAATTCTAGGTAAATCATTCGACTCTGTCGGTATTTCATTTCTGACATTTGTCAAATTGTTGCATAACACCTGCAGGCAACACCAAAATATTCTAATAAACTAAAGACAACATGGACGATGCCATGATTATACACAACCACCCGTCATATTGGGCAAACATTTATTCCTCTATTTGATATTAAATAATTATGTTTCAGTTCGAAATTACAGATATAAAGTGATAAACATTAGTGTAATTGTGTCTAAATATGGGATTTGTGGAAGATTTAACGCATATAAGTTCAGTTTTCCATCTTAAAAATGTAGTCATACTTTTGACCATTATCAAAATATGAATCAAATACGAAGCCCGTAGAAATTGCGTAACTACTTTGCACGTTAATCACAATAAA